CAAATTCAGCAGCTTCCCACCTGCACGGCCCCTGGACGGGTTAGCATGAAGGTCGCAGCTGTCAGATCCTTACATCAGAGGATTAGGTGCAGGTTTACATCGCTGCCAAAACAGCCGCCTCATCGCCACTGAACAGCATGTGAGTGTGGCACCTGAACATCTCCAACACTGGACCTTTCTGTCGGCCCGCTGGTCCACGACACCATACTCGTCAGTAGGATCGTCCCCTTATGGTTTTTGGCAGTAAATTAGAGCTGCATCTGATTAGAGTAAGAACCAGAGGCGAGACCTTGAAAGCCTAATTGATTTCCCTGTCGTTATCCTCCTCACCTCCACGCTCACACCTACTTTTAAATAATGTGAGTTGAATACAAATACAATGCAGGACCACACACACCTGTCACCTTTAAAATGCCAATTTAAAAGCCCAACGCTCCGCTGCTCTTGAGCAACGAAAGCCTTCCAAACTTTTGCCTTTCTGTCGGAAAGTTAAGGCACATTCAGTGTTAACTTAGAGCAGAAAGACTTATATAAATACGTTAGGACAGGGCATTGCATTTTAAATGAAAAACAAAACAAAACAATTAGCAGTGCAACAGGCGTTCCAAGACTAACTCAATTAAAATAATTGTTTTAATGGAGACGCGTGCATTGATCGTTGCAGTTAAACAACTACGTTCATGGTCAATAAGCAGCAGGTTCTCATAATAAAAATGAAATATTTTTATGACTATGGAAATCTCTTTAGAACACCACCAACATTAACAGATTTTCTCTCTGTATTTTTCTAAATTAACCTTCAGTTATTTAAGGCTAAATATCCTTCTCTAACGCAGATGCGAACATATTTCTCTCAAACACTCTGACCTTTTTTCGGTCATTTGGCTCACTCCTTCCTTCAGGGGTCAACACAGTGGATAATCTGCATGTATGACCTGGCACTGATATTTACACCAGATGCCGTTCTTGACACACTCCTCCCCATTGTACAAGCCATCGACTGGCAGTAGGAGAACACAGATTGTTGCCCCTCCGTGGCTGGGTATGGGGGGCAACCTGGGGACACATCCGCGCACAGACCAGCAGAGCGCGGAATTGAACCTGCATCCTTCCAGGTGAAAGATGACTCTCACTGCTAGCTGATACATATTCACCAATCCACCAAATTAAAAAGTATATCACAGTAACTGCAGAATCCCAACAGTAATTTTTCAAATGTTGCACTTTGCAGTCATATGTACCTTGCATATATTGTGCTAATATAGTTTAGTTTTGTCTCTAAGGTCAGTACAGTGTTAGTGGTGTTTCCCAGCCTTTTCTGAGCCACCACACCAAAATGAAAACCTCAACAAATGGATATGGTATTTAATAAAGCAATGATCTGTTTGATTCAAATGACTCACAGTCTGATTACTCTGGCCTTAAATACATTTGGTTTGTCAGTGAAAAGAGTTCAAATCATCTCTGGTGCCATTTCTTGCATATTAAAGGTTGAATTAATTAAAAAAATATATAAGTTAAGTTGAATTGCGATTTTTGTCCTCCAGCTTTTTTAAAATAAATAAAATATCAAGTAAAAACGGTTCACAACAAAAACAGGTTTTAAGCTTAGCTCTCTTTTGGTAGAAGTAATCCAGTCTGAATGAAGACGATGTATCTGTTGTTGGAGGCTTTTGCACACACATCTCTACATGTGATCATGTGACATATTCCTATTGTAAACTGTAAACTTTACATCATTGTCCATCACTGCTTGTAATCTAACAATCTAATCTACTGTGACGCATCAGCCCATTATTATCCACCCCACATTTACACAAATTTCCCCTCAAATAACTTGAAAGTGCAATAAAAACATTAGCTATGAAGACCAACATTGTGTCTCTCTCTCCTGTGTCTTGTTTGCCCTTCAACAACAGATCATTTAATTTTACACCTCAGTCTGTGCCTGTGTCTCCTCTCCTCAGCCTTTGGCTTCTCTCTCCTCTCTGGATGCCAATATTTCACTATGGTTTTTTTTTAGAGCGAGAAGGTGACCATCTCCCCTGTCTGCGTGATGCGTGTGTGTGTGTGTGTTTGAGCTGATTTAGTGTGTGAGTTTTTATGAAAAAAGGATTGTAGTGTTTGCCGTGTGCAATTACATCTGAGGCTGAATAAAGACTTGAACACCCGGAGATTTTAAAAAGTGATAAAACAATCATATGCAGGTTTAAAGTGGATTAACTGAACATCAGGAGTTTGCCGTGGCCTTTCTGAGGTTATCGCCACTCTTTCTCTACACTGTTGATATTAAATCCCTATCGCATATAATATCCCCCTAACACCAGTCTGACATTAACAAGGAGCCCTGCAGGAATCCATCCGTAATACAGCACTACTGTTGTACAGTGAGTAGCTGTTCAGAGGGCTGGTGTTGAAGCAGTTCTTTTTTCCAATTCAGTAGGAGGGAGCGTTTATGACAGATTCCAGGTGTACTGTAACAACACTGATCTTCTATCTGCTTGTTTCTAATTCTGCTGCAGATTTCTCCAGAGAGCCCGTGTCAAACTCGCTTGAAAGGTAATCAATAACAGGTTATAACCATGTGTTAGGCCGTCAAAGCTTTTGAATTTAAAAAGATCAATTTTGTGCAGCACTGTGACAAATACAACAAAGACAAATAGAGAGGAGCCCTTTCATTTTCCAAAGCTGGACAGCAATAGAAAAAAATATGAAAAAAGGTGAATAATATGTGCTATGATAGGGATGTTTACAACAGAATCTGTGTGTTAACCCTATCAAACCATATGTATCATTTTTAATTATTATTATTTCCACAATAATAATAATTCTGTGCTCTCTATGGGTGGCCAGCAAGCACTGCCAGAATAACGTTTCCAGCAAAACATCCCTTGGCATAGACGTGTTTACTGTCAGTGTCTTTGAGAGATCCTAATCCAGGAGGTCGACTTCTGATGCTACCTGTTTAATTTGTAATATATATACAACACCCCCCATCGCACATTTATCAGTGCTTGTGCAGCTGATAGTGGAACTATTTATTACTCTCTACAGCCGTTTGCCATCCTTGTCTTTAGCCAGTCAGCAAACATGGGTGTACCAGCTAATCTTATCATCATTACATCATTTATTTGTGCAGCGGAGATTATGTAGCTCCTGGAGGATATCTCTGACTGAAGCGTACACTTCTGAGAGATATAAATCTGTGTATTTAGAGAGGCAAATACTGCATGTATGCACATAAAGCTGCATAGATACACAGGGTCTAATTCTTTCTGTGAGCATGAATACATTGTATAATTACACACACTCAAACTGAGGGCTTTTTTACGCTGCAAGGTCTTGACAGACTTTTGAGTGTCTGAGGAATTCTTTACATTCATATCACTTTCCTTATACAGAGGCCATGTTTGGAGCAAAATGCAATAAACACTCATTCATTCTACTACAGTTTACTGGAGTCACAGTTTACTGCCAAGTCAAAAAAAACAGAATACAAGCCATATTCAGAGTAGACCTTATGCACTAGAAAACACTAGAAATGACATATCACCATAACATGATGCACAAGTTTCAAACAATTAGAATCAATCTTTTGTCATTATCCAGTGAGCTACATCCCAGTGAGTGACATGCTGTGGATTATAAAATATCTAATAAATATCATACAAACCAACTTAACAAAGTGACACAGTTAAATTTTAATATTGCTGCACCATTAGGTTTTATGGTGAAGGGCAGATTTTCTCTGGCTGTGAGCTCTGTGATGTGATAATGCCCCAGTGTCTGTCAGTCATTCCTCTCGGACACAGAGCACGGTTCTGACAAGGCTGCATTGTGCCCATCATAATGCTGCCTCCACAAAAGACTCACACTGCCAGGCCGTCACATCGCACAGGGAAAAATTGCAGGCTGCCCTGCCGTCCTACGTTACAACTTTATTTAGCAGCCTACCTGGTTTTTCAAACAATGGCAACAGCAGATGGACTCAACTGAGCCAGAACAGCAACCACGAACACAATGTACTGCAGAAAGGCCGGTGCGTAAGCGATGGTCATTTAGCAACTTGCGTTGCCCAGATTGTGGGCTGCTGATGTTAAATCCAAAAATATATTTTTTCATGTCTCTGGGAGACAAGATGGTAGTAAATAATATTAAAAATATATATATATATATATAAAACAAAAGGGACAGACAGATAGATAGGTAGGTAGATAGATAGATAGATTTTTCGGACTTTACCAAATTCTTAGACCATTTGGGTTTTGTTTTTTAACCGAATGAGGGCTAGTTTCAGGAAAGTCAGAATTTAAAGCAGGGCCATTTTGGAGCAGGGCTACTCAGAGTGCATTCATACATCTGACTCCACTCCATTACTGGCCTAAGGGACACAAAAAGGGGAATGTTGCAGTTATTATGACTGCAAATTAGTTTCATACACAGACAGTACATTGCTCCGGCAGAGGACTAAGCCTGTGGGAATTGACTCTGTCAGATATGCAGAGCAGGTCATTATGGCAATGCTTGTTGGAGCCTCATATCAATCCTAGACTTCTCCCTGTCCTCCTCCTGTCAGTTATAAGCTCTGAGCCTGCAAAGCCCCCCAAGTACTCTTTCCTCAGTTTAGAGCAGTTTTGACTAAAATAACTAGGCCATGTTTTTGGTACATTTATTATAGCGGTCCAATGACATTTGACTTTGAATTCAAGATGATCAGAGTTTGATAAAGCAAAAACTTTTTTTTAAATGGAAGATCACTTTTGATTATTTACCATCACATCAATATGTTACATGTTTCCTCATTAATCCGCAACTAAACCAACATAGTGACAGAGCAGTGGGAAAAAAGATGGAAGTCAGACCAAACCAGGAGGAGGCGATAGTGGACTCTCTCTGTCTCTCTGTGCTCCTACAATATTAACCATGCATGAAAAAAGGCTCTTGTTTCAGAAA